GCGGAGGGGAGGGGGAAAAAGAAAGGGGAAAGGCAAAGAAAAGAAAACAAGAAAAGGAAAAGAGAGGAAAGAGAAGAGAAGAAAGAAAGAGAAAACAGGAAAATGAGAAAAGAAAAGGGAATGGAAAAGAAAAAGAAAGAAGAAGAGAGAGAAAAAAGAAACGAGGATGAAAGAGAGGAGAGAGAGATGTAGATAAGGGCCTGAGGGAAGAGGGGTGGGAGTAAGAGAGAAAGGGGATGTTGGGTGGAGTCGCCACGTCGAGGGAGCAAGAAAGATACTGATAATTATGTTGCTGTGTCGGGTCCGCAGTGTCGATAGTTTTTGCTCGATGTGACAGAGAAACTTTGTTGAAAATTCAGACAATGATTAAGAGTCGGTACAACGAATTGTCTTCTCTCTCCCTAATAATTAAATAAAACGTCTAAGCTTCCGCGCTTCGCGCGGTAGGGGTAACTGAATTCAGACAAGGATTAAGAATCGAAAACAGTACAACGAATCGTATTCTTTCTCTAATAATTTAACGAAACGTCAAAGCTTCCTCGCTTCGCGCAGGAGGGGAAAATGAATTCAGACAAGGATTAAAAGGAATAATTTCTAGAGAAACGCCAAAACTACCTTGCTTCGCGCAGGAGGGGGGGGGGAACTAAATTCAGACATGAACACGGTACAACGAATCGCCTTCTCCTCTAATAATTTTAATAAACCTGAAAGCTTCCGCGCGAAGCGCGGGAGGGGGAAACTGAATTCAGACAAGGATTTAAAGTAGAGAACGGTACGACGAATTGTCTTCTTTCTCAGATAATTTAATGAAACCGAAATCAGACAAGGATTAAGAGTCGAAAACAGTACAATTAGTCTTCTTTCTCTAATTATTTAATAAAACGTCAAAGCTACCGCGCATTACGCGGGAGGGGGGAATCTGAATTCAGACAAGGACACGGTACAACGAATCCTCTTCTTTCTCTAATAGTTTAATGAAACAAATGAAGGTTCCGTGCTTTGCGTGGGAGAGGGGGAAAACGAATTCAGACAACGATTAAGGGAGGGGAAAACTGAATTCAGGCAATGATTAGGAGTCGAAAACAGTATACAACGAATTGTCTTCTTTCTCTATAATGATGTAATGAAACGTCAAAACCTTCGCGCGGGAAGGGCGAAACATGAACTAAGAGTCGAAAACAGTACAACGAATTGTCTTCTTTCTCTAAAAATTTAACGAAACGTCAAAGTTTCCGCGCTTCGCCCGGATGGGGGAAACTGAATTCAGACAAGGATTTTAAGAGTAATAATTTAATGAAAAATCATAGCTTCCGCTCTTTGCGCGGGAGGGGGGGGGGGGTCTGAATTCAGACAAGGATTAAGAGTCGAAAACAGTACAACGAATCGTCTTCTTTCTCTAAAAATTTGACGAATCGTCAAAGTTTCCACGCTTCGCGCGGGAAAAGGGGAAACTGAATTCAGACAAGGATTTTAAGAGTAATAATTTAATGAAACGTCATAGCTTCCGCGCTTTGCGTGGGAGAGGGGCAAAAACGAATTCAGACAACGATTAAGGGAGGGGAAAACTGAATTCAGGCAAGGATTAGGAGTCGAAAACAGTATACAACGAATTGTCTTCTTTCTCTAATAATTTAACGAAACGTCAAAGCTTCCGCGCTTCGCGCAGAGGGGGAAAAAAGGCATAAATTTAAAAAAGGCGGATGTTGATATCAGACAACATACATGACGCGAGCCTGCCCCCTCTCCAAAATTGTGCCCGCTTGTAGGTACCGGTAAGTTTCTACGACCTTGTCAGTATTATGTTAAGTTGAAATATTGGTCCATGCGATTTTAAAATTTTCGGCCCCCCCCCCCCCCCCCCCTATTGGAAAATCCTGGATCCGCGCCTGAATTATGCCTATATAGTAGGAAGTTAGGAACCGTTTGAGTTTTGATTTAAAGGAAGGAGGTTTGGTGCATTTATAATTTTATCATTAAGCAGGTATTCCAAATTTCAGGCCGATGAAAATGACAGTATTTTGGGAAAGAATAGTTTTCATTCGGACAGTAAAAAAAAACCCAGCTGGTGTTCAGATTTTCTCCGATTTTGGGGGGTATATTTTGTTCAGTAACAAGATCGAGCTTGCGCATTTTTTAATCTGCTGGGTGCAAGCCAAGAAAAATAACACACAACACAGTGGCGGATCCAGGGGGGCCGAAACGGCCGCGGCCCCCCCCCCCTTTATTGGCGGCACAAAAAAAAAAGAGATAAAAAAAGAAAGGAGAAGAGAAGAAAAAAAGGAGAAGAGAAAAGAAAGGAGAAGAGAAAAGAAAAGAGAAGAGAAAAGAAAGAAGAGAGAGAGAGAGAGAGAGAAAAAAGAAAGAAAGAAGATACCCCCCCCCCCTACCTCACTCCCACTCCGGGGTCCGGAGGGACCGATTTTGTGTTCCCAAAATTTCCGATAAAGGGTTACTTTTCACGCAACAAAGTCCGGCCCGTAATACACACAAAGCCGGCCCGCACTGACTTTACACACCGAAGATAAAGGGGTGCTTTCAAACTGCAGCATCAGAACTGAATACACACAGTCGCTGATTCAGGATTTCTTAGGTGGGGGTGGGGGTGGGGTGGGGGGGGGGGGTGGTAATGAGCACTATTTTTTTTTTGGGGGGGGGGGTGGGGGGCACGTGCCCCCCTGTGCATGCCCCCTAGATCCGCCACTGACACAAGTTAAAAATATATACATTTACATTGTAAAAATCACAGAACATTTAGTTGGATATTATTTAAATGTGTCATGTTTATTGTAGGCCTATTCTTAATCATATCTCAATGTTGCACCAGCATAAAGTCACATTAATTCAGTCAAAGGGTATACTATAGTAGTATAGTTAACTCTGGGAATTATCATTTTTTTAAATTTTTTAAACTCTAAACTCTAAAAGAGGGAGTTTTTTTCTCTCTCTGTCTTTGGGTCAAAATAACTTGAGTACTATAGATAGATACAGGCGCGTACGCAGGGGGTGGGGGATTGGGGGTCGAACCCCCACTAACATTTTTGATGTGTGTGATTTTTAATTTAAAAAAAGAAGAAAAAAACCCTTTTTTTGTGTGCAAAAGGGTGACCCCAAAAAAGTGATCTTACCCCCCCCCCCCCCAGCCATCGAAATATAGGTCGGCCAAATTTTTTAATTTCCGGGAAAGAAAATGTGCTCGCAGTGGCGGCCGGATCCAGGGGGAGGGGGTGCCGGTGGGCCTGTGGTCCCCCCGGAAAAAAATGTGTAAAAACACGTTAATTTTACCTTTTTATGGAGATGGGCCCCCTTCCTGGCGTTCAAGGGGGGGGGATGCGATTTTCCAAATTTTCAAGGGCCCCCCCAAAAAAAAAATATATATAGTATATCCCTATGATCCCTGCTAAGGCTGCTATTATGTAAAAATGTGTAGAACGTACAGGTGTCACATGCATATTCACCTGTTCTACACATTTTTACATAATAGCAGGGAAGGGATGTTCTACCACAGCAATAGGCCATTTTCGTAATGTAACCAAATTTAATGCATAAGTCTTTGTGAAGTGGCTCAATACAAATTATTTCATTCACCTGATAGGAATAATAGTATTTTAATAGTCAGAATGCAACTGCATATATTAAGTGTTGCTAGCTAGGTAGGTCAAGCCATCATGTTGTCCAACCTGGCAACAAGTAATGATGCAGTTCAGATTCTGTCTATTGAAATACTATTATTCTTATCAGGTGAATAAAATGATCTGTATTGAGGCACTTCACAAAGACTTATGCATTAAATTTGGTTACATTACGAAAATGGCCTATGTGTATCGCCGAGTGTAATCTAAAAGATTTCTAATTGTAGTCAACATGGGCAGTTGAGTACGTTGACACGCATGATCAATCGGCGTTCGTCGTGTTCTCGTCTACTCAACCTAAAAGTCCCTCTTGCTTCGAGTGAATGCACTGAAAGTCTCAAATGTGAGTCTGTCCTATAATCTCACATATTATTTCGTCTGTCATCCCTCTTGACTCCCAATACACACAAATAACATAAAATACACTTCAATTATTGTGGAATAGCCTGACAACGATCGACTACTGAGAGCCAGCCGTTTATTCAGTATGAATGTAATTAACAAACATTTCTTCTCGTTTCCTGCACTGGAAACCGGACCTATATCATGGTCCAGGATAAAAAACCAGAGATAAAACTCAACGAGCATAAAAACTCTGGAAAACCTTATTCAAACACAGTCATGTAACACTACATGACACAACGCACTTTTATTGTAAATAAAAGTTGTCTAGTTGAAAGTTCAAGCTAGAATGATATTACACACTAATTCATGCCACGCCCTGGTCTCCGTAGCAGAATTAGCTCGCACACCTGTACGAGCTGCCTATGCAAATATACATTCCATCGGGGCACAGCCCCCCCCCCCCCCCCGCGTCCAACATAAGTATGCATTCATTAACGATACAAACAACATTTGTCTGCTATACAATCGTACCGCAGACAAATAATAGTTCATCCTAACATCGTTTATCACATAATATCACCCATAGCAACCATCACATACAGATGTCACTCTGAAGCTAGAATGACTTCCCTCTACAACGGCCACACCCTTATCTCGCATCCTCTCTTTTCATATTCAAATGAAACACCTTCAACGCAACGGAATTGAATAATTCCGTCACGCATGCCAGAGAACAATTAGTGCTCACCACTTATTGGCCGTATAAACAACATTTGCCAGCTATACGATGTAACGCTGGCAAATACATTTCCTTCGTCTGCTCAAATCACGTGATGTATTTCAATTGAACATGCAAATAGAGACCGCTCGCGCGAATCGGTTTTAGGTTTCGAGTAAGATGGGAAGCAAGAAATTTACCATTCTCTGCTAGATTCTGTCCTAGACAAGTCGTTTTGAGATATTTACTTAGCTTTTGCTTCGTTCGCCTAGCTTGCTTTGAACCACTGTTATTTCACTCGTGTAATAATGGTCTTTTACGGCAACAAGTTCACCGGGAACTGTGTGATGAATACCCTGGAGGGTACTCGTTGTAAGAGGAAGGCACCCCTGCCTGTTGATGAAGTCGAAGAATGCTGGCAACACCGACAGTATGTATCTATATAGTTATTTTCTAAATTAAAAATGAATTTACCAACTCAGTAGTCAGCTCTCATGGAGAATTCGACACCGTTCGGGTGTTTACCCAACAACAGGTGTTGTCAATCACCCGGGTTAGCCTCGAGTTTTATGACCATTAGACCTTATGTAATGCTTTGGTTTCTCCGTTACCCGAAAACTCTCGAGTATTATCCGAGAAATCAGAAGGGGGGGGGATTCTTGACTGGCCAACGGGTTTGCTGTGTGCAGATTTGTACCCCCATTAATGGTATTTCCACCAAGTCTGGTGTCAGCGAATTATGGCCTTCTGCGCATGGAAACTGCTGATACAGTCCCTTTAATACATGACGCAGGATATTGGCCCTTCAGTGAGTTGAAAGTTATTTGTTTTGGGTCATTCATTGTAATTACCCTATCGAATGTCTTACCAAAATTGCAACGTCTGCACTTTTGTCTTATATATTCGCATTCTATTATTTGCAATCTAGTAGTAGTAATAGACTATATATGTCCTGTTTTATGTTTCCTTTATTACAGACAGCCAGCCGAGGTCCAGTGCTCTGCACATATTGGGCTTCATGGGAATGGCAGACGTTGCAGCCGGCGTGGACGTCACTCGCTAGACGAAAACGCTGTTGAACTCTACTGCACGCAACACGGTATGCATTTATTCAAAGTAAATCTCTCACATGTAACTTAGATCTACATTTTAAAAAGGCGTCTTGTGGACCATAGACTAGCTATAGGGGGCCGTTTCTCGAAACCGTCATAACTACAAGATCAACGACATCTCGCCACTAGCTGTCACGCAACTTAATTGTCAGCTAAGTGTTTCACGAAACCGTCTTTGCCAAGATGAGCGACAACTTCCGCGACAAGCGAGTTTTCACTGCTCCGAACCTGTCATATCTTTTTAATTGCTGTAAAGCGCCTTCACAAGTCAGTTTGTTGCCATTCCATGGGCCGCGAAATGGACGATTAGTTTCACTATCATTTTGAGAAAAATATAGACGAGTTTGGTACGTAATTCTCTGGGATGTGAAATGCAAATGTACAAAAGTGAGAATACAAATTATACAGAAACTTTAAAAAGCTGAATATAAACATTAAATCACAAATCATTAAACTGTAACATATAAATAATAGAGGTAAGAATGTTACACACCGTTTTCCATAGTCGATCCATAGTCTTTTCTTAGGATACCGCATCGAAATCCAAGTAAGTTTGGTTTGAGTTCGTTGGGATACCGTCATACCTTTGGGGTCGACCTATGTACATTATTATTCCCTCTTTAATTACTTCTTCCAAATTATATTTCAGTATCAAATCAATTATATAACGAGTATTTATGAGACTCTAGAATAAAAACTGGCGGAGAAAAGACATTTTGCCTAAAATTTCTCGTCACAATAAACAAAAAAGTACGTACAATAAACAAAAAAGTACGTACGTATCACATTACGGTATCCTTCAACTAACTTTTGATTCGACTGTCAAAAAAAAAACACTCACCGGTTTTTCTTCAATTTAAGAATCTTTACAGAAATATGCAAATCGCTTGATAATGTAAATATGATAATGACACTCTTTATTATTTATTTTAGGAGAATTTATATGTATATATTTCTTTTTGAACAATTTTAGCCCCAAAACTTGTTTTGGGTTATTCTTGATAAATCAAATGGATCGTGAAAAAGACTATGTTCTTGAGCTGCTAGTATCGCGATATATCGATATCATGTCTGTCATGGCTTCGTGAAACGCTTCATGACATCTCCGTAGGTCGCCGACAAAGATATGACTGTCATGGAGTTGGTTTCGAGAAACGGCCCCCAGATCTACATGTATTTGCCCAGACCATTAGTGGATCCAGAATTGTCCAGGAATCGAGGGCTGCATATTGCCATTGGTAAAAATATTAAAAATGGAAGAGTAAATATTGATTCATGTACACATGTTGATTCAAAATATTTTGAAACTAATTACACTGCCCCCCTCCGCCTCCCCCTCCCCCTCGACCCCTCCCCCTCCCCCTCCCCCTCCCCCTCCCCCTCCACTCAGTGTTATTTAGGGTAGGCAGTATATATGCATGTTCCCTCCCTTTGAAAGCACCCCCTATCTCCGGTGTGTAAAGTCAATACTGGCCAGATTTTTGTGTATGTACGGGCCTTACTTTGTTGCGTGAAAAGTAGCCTACCCCTTACCCTGTAATATGGGATCATTGAATGTGTACGTTGGTGCATTGACAGGGGGTATATTCAAGAATAAATGGAGAATCGTGTATTTGAATGTGATCTGTGAAATGCCATGCATGTACTAGTAGCATGTCCTCATTTATGTTATCGTTTGGTTTATACAGTCAACAAGTTGCATCGCGAGAACGGTCGTGCGGAGGTCGTTCCTGCTCATCGCCAACAGCAGGATGAACAGCGTAGGAGGGCGGAGGAGCGTGAGCAACTCCACCCGAGACGAAGGTCACCGCGTCTGGTAGAGCGAGAGATCGCAGCTGCCGCCGCTGTTCAACTCGCCGCGGAGAGAGAGCAACGTCGTGCCGCCAATCGGGCAAACCAGAACCTGCGGAGGTCGGCCCGGATTGCCGCGAGGCGAGGCAATGTGTGATTATAGCCTGGGTAAGTAATTTTTTTTTATATGCTTTCCTAATTTTAAGTATTCTAACAATTCCTACCCCCACAACAAAAAATAACTAAACAGATGAGCATGCAATGTATTCAATGTACCAAACACAATTTTTTTGATTGAAGACTTGACAATGAGCCAAAACTTTACAACATAGCAGCAACTTTTAATGATCAGTTGGATCAAAATGAACTGAGATGCATCCAAGGTTTCTAAATAGTATGATTGTTATTTGTCACAATGATATAGGGGTTTTTCAAAATTCATTTATCTGAAAACATAATCTGTTTTATTTATTTAAAAAAAAGTTTGAAACTGAAACATCTTGCTCATAATGAAATTAAAGGGGAAGCCCACCATGATATTAAGTGTATTTTTTTAGAATCAGAACATGAGAGAAACAGTTCAGTGAAAGTTTGGGCATAAACCGATTAAAAATAAGAAAGTTATGAATTTTTAAAGGTGCAATCAATTAATGTTTCAATCAAATATTTACCCTAAGTATTATCATTTCAAGTATAGCGTTAAGCAACCCCTGTATGAAACGTATCTATTCCGTCATCAATATCTAAGAAAATGAAAATTCATGAAATTGTCTGTAGCCTACAGAGCAAATTGGAGATGAGCTTGCATGATGTCACATTTTTTTCACTGATGACAGCTTTAAAATTCATAACTTTCATATTTTTATTGTTATGCTTTTATTACAGTCAACTTAATTTAAGGGTGGACTTCCCCCTTAGTATTAATGATTTTTAAACTCACTTCATTCTCCTTTCCTACAGACTGATTCGCAGAAGCAGCAGGGGGGAGACCGAGGGGGGATACTGGGTCGAACACTGCTGAGGTTCTCGGGACGTAAACGCCTTGCTATAGGAGTAGTAGGGAGGAAGCCGAGACGGGTAGTGCATGGTCACTCAAAACCAGACCCGCTGTACTATCGTAGTCAAGAAAGACTGGGTGTGGTCAGTCGAGGTAGACGCCGGAGGCCATTCCCTTTCTTTGACCGCCTGTAAATTATTCCAAGAAGGTATGTCTACTGTTCATTATTTTGGCTTCATATGTTTAAAATAGTATTAATTCTTTATAGCATTATAGCATTACCTGGCAAAACATGGGGAGTCTTCATCTTTGCTTTTGTTTGCACATGTCCTCATCATTTTGGAGTGTATACCATTTATATGTATCCTCTATGTGGAAAATGTTTATATAAAGTAAAATGTAGGGCCGAAAGGTGAAAAACTTCTTTATATTTTGTCTACATACTCAGAAATAAATCTATTTTGAAATTAATGTATAAACTTGGTATAATCTTTACATAACAAAATTGTTTAATTTGTGTTTATTTCTACGATATTACCTGCCCATCATATTTCCTTTGAGATGCCTAATACAACATTTGTTTAACCTCTTTATTCCACAGATCAGGCCTCACCGCGGGACGCGCACACACGTCGTAAGTATGCAGGTATTTCAATGTCTACCTTGTGATCATATATTCCTACTCACCAGATCAGTTTACCCAATACCTCCTAATAGAAGTCATGTATACTTCTGAGGTTTGACATGTAGGTTATTACATTGAGAATTTGTGAATATTTGGCTGAAAATCTTTTTTAATATACGTTATATTGTTATAAGGGTTCAGAAGTTGTCTTTTTTTGTAAGTTTAGTTATTGGTTTTGCAATCATCCATCTCATAAAAGTAGTTGTACTGATATTTCAATGTGTATTATTTATTGTTATAAAATTTAGTGTTGAGTTTATAAAGGTTAAGCTTAAATTATTAATATGACCTACTCGGTGATTAATGAGCAATGTGTAATTTATTATGTGTTCAATTGACCTATGCTTTATGTACTGTATATAGTTGTTAGCCATGTGAAGTAAAAAATTCCACGTAATGTGGACAATAAAACAAATCAACAAATCAAATCAATGTATCTTGTTGTAAGAGCTAGACTTGGCAGGAGCTGTCCAATTACCCAGTTTGTAATTAGCACCAAATAACCACTAAATATATATCTGAACATGGAGAGGCCTAATAAGGATTGTAGAACTTGAGGAGTCACATGAATGCCATTTATCTCCAGTTAGAGATGCAAAACTTTACCTGTGTATCATGAAATACCATACTGGTGCATAAAATAAAATGAATGTTTGAACATGTATCCAATATTTTTCTCAATTTGCACATTTTTTAAAACCAAATTTTCAAACTGCAATTACAAACTGGCCTATTATAGGATGTGTACTGATAATGTACTTGTAGACAGAATGTTCTTTCATGTGGAATGCACGAAAGAATAAGAAAAAAAGATGCCAACAATTAATGATGAACTTACAAAAATGGTTGCAAACTAATGATAAAATACAATTAATAAATATGAAATTTAAAATTTAAAAAGAGACGTTAAATGAAAAACAAAATAAGATGGACAAAATAATTAAATTGAATAGAACACATTCTTTTTTATAAAAAAAAGGTTTAAAATTAAGTTTAAAAAGGATGTGTGTTCCCTTCAAAGTCGAGACGAGTTACACGGGAAAACACTAAAACCACTATAATCCTTTAGCATTAGTGATCATAAAATTCTTGGTAAAGTTTTCCAGTCCCTTAAAAGAAACAACTGAAATCTCATCTTCTCCCATTTGCAATTACTTTTATTTAATCCTATTTTCTTATACATTATATACATGTTATGCATATGTAGGTTCTACTCATATACCGGTAAAGCAAATCCCCTTCTGTTTCTCTATTTGTAGTGGATTATTCTCAATCCTATTTTTTAAAGGGGTGCATTTTCCTGACATGTTTATGTTACCAATTCGAAGAAGAAACACAAAATCACATATGAAGAAATAAATCACCTTTATGTGGCTGGGGTAAAAAACAAAATTAAATTTAGTTTATTATTCATATTTACCAGAGGACATATTAAGCATTATATCAGACAAAAAATACATCGTGTTCACTATTTTCAGGTATACAGCACCTGTAAATCCCATGTGTGTTCTCTAATAGGATTTGTTAGACTCTCTGTGAAATGAATAGTTTTTTTCCTTCTCTTATCTTTCCAGTTTGTATCTTAATCATATCTAATTGCTTTTATTGTGAGATGTTTTGATTTTTCTTATGGTAGGATAGGACTCCTTTAAAATATAATAAAGATGTAATATATAGCTTTTTCTACTTTTCTTCTCAAGTCTCCACTAATATAAATTAATGTTTTAATACAGTAGGCTCTACTTCAAATGTGTAATACCTAATCATTCTCAGTATTGTTTGGCAGCTGTTTATCGTTTCCAATGCTCTCTCTGGTTTACCCTTCTCTCCATTGCAGCAGGGATGTTTCTCGATATTGTAGAATTCTCTTGATAGCTCTTTACATCTTCTAAGAGTATTGAATCTTTCTTTCAATAGGAGAATATCGTATGTCATTCACAATTCAAGGCTTTCGGTAACACTATGTGGTTTGTACACCAAGAATTAGGTCATATGGAAGTAAAAAAGGAAAGGAAAGAAAGGGTGGTGAAGATTGAGAAGGTTGTGAGGAGATCGCAAAGGGTGTAGTTTTGAAAAGAAAATTGTATCTTTCCTCTTTCTATATCATTTTTATCTTTCTATTTGTTTGTATTTTTGTTAATGTCTTCGTCTTTCTTTTTCTTTTTCTGTATCTGTATCTATCTCCCCTTTTCTCTTTTTTACTTTCTCTTACATGTATATTTTAGTCTTATATTATCCCTTCGCTGACGAAGTCGGAGGGGATCTAGTAACGCAGCCGTCCGTCTGTTCGTAACAAATCTGATTTCCGTTCGATAACTTTAGTAATGTTTGGCGGATTTTAATAAAATCTGTTATGAAGGTACATGGTATCAAAATACAGCCTAAGTTCGATTTCAAAGTATGTAGATCAAAGGTCAAAGGTCATAGCTTATTAAATATGCAAAATACCCAAATCTGGTTTCCGCTCTATAACTTTAGTAATGTTTGACAGATTTCAATGAAATTTCATATGAAAGTAAACGGTATCAAAATACAGCAGCCCAATTTCGATTGCGGAGTATGTAGGTCAAAGGTCAGAGCTCATTTAATATGTGGGGAAAAAGCTAATTAGAAAATTTGGTTTCTGTTCAATAATCTTAGTAATTTTTCGACGGATTTGAATGAAACTTGATATGAAGGTACATGGTATCAAAATATAGCATAATTTCAACTTTGGAGTATGTAGGTCATAGGTCATAGCTCTTTAAATATGCAAAATACCTATTTATATATGCGAAAATGTGGTTTTCATTCAATAATGTAAGTAATGTTGTTGAGTATGTACGTCAAAGGTCAAAGGTGACAGCTCATAAATATTAAAAACTTGCTAAATATAGGCCATTTTTACCCGGCAAAGGGACGCTACGCTTTGCATGGACTTGCTTTTTTTTCTGTCTCTCACTTCTATGTCCTTTTAGAACATTATCATTTATACTCTTTCTTCTTCTCATACTTTATCATCTTCTCTTCATTATCTTTCCCATCCATTGTACCCATCCATAATACCCATATTTACCACAATAAATCAATGTATCTACCTATCATTTGCTAGTTTATCCAAACTACGCCACAACTCTAAAAACATCAAAATCGCGTATGCCCCACCCCCATAATTCGCCTTCCCAGGGTTCATGTGCGCAACGCACACCCGCCATTCATCCTCTTTCTATTCTCGCCTACCGGCAGAGACATCGTTACAGCTGAGTCACATTTAAATTCAAGGATTTTGTCCTTTTTTCGATAGGCTTAGCTCTTTTTACACATTGAATTCCGTCCTCTTTTTTATTGCTATTAATATGGTGGTACAGGTTCCCAAGTCACATATTTATTTTGCAGAAATTTGGGTATCATTTCTGCTCCGCATATTTCCACTTTCACGACCATAAATTACAGGCTTTGGTACGCCGCTGGGTTAGGGCGTTTGGTCCTGGCGTTACGGCCTTTGCTGTTTGGGATTTCTTACGTGTGGTAAGGCGGTTAATTTATTCACTGACCTAACGTCCCACCTTAGCTTGTTACGCTTCACGGATCACCGCTTCTGCGGCGGGACCTTTTGTCTGTTCGTGATAGTTTGGTTTTATGTTTTGTGACCATGTTGAGCCTATTTAGCTGAACCTTTCAGATTTAGCAAGGCCCTTGAGCAAGCTTCGTCACCCGACACTGCAGCAAGGGGAACGAAGTTTGTAGTTTGTATTTTATGAGGTTTACTGTAGCCTTCTGATGTCCAGTCTCCGACTGTGACTTAGACGGAGAAGGCTGTGTTGATTTTTAGACCTCAGCCTGCGTTCTCTCCAACCGTTCAGACTGGGCTTCTCGTTGTAACAAAGCATCTTGGTGGGCGACAGGGTTTACCCTGGTCCCATCTGTCTGTTCTGAAGCCCAGTTACGCTTGTCTGTTGTAAGCTGGTACCTGTTTTAGGTTGGGATCCGTCTTGATAATAATAATAATATTCAATTTTTATATAGCATTTAATACAAATGTCTGTAAGTGCTTTACAAATATACTATTACCCTAGTCATTGGATTCAGTGCTTCCATTTTTTTGGGGAATTATCTCTTGGACACAATTCCCCAGCTAACCTTGAGGGTAATCAGAGTCCGTTGCTGATGTTGGGGCAACAGGCTCCCCGGCGAGTTTCCCATCTCTGGCTTGTTTCAGGTCGGTGGGTTCGGTTTTCTGTCCCTGTTGCTGCGGACATCTGTTCCCTCTCTCGGCCGGACGTGTTGTTCCAGCCTCTGGCGGGGATTCTCCGTCGTCGTCCCGTGGTGCTTGCTCTCTCTGACTGCCAGGACGGTGTCGGGAGGACGTTGACTTCTGGACTCTCTGAAGAGAGTCTCATAGTTTATAGTCCAGAGTCGTAGGGATCCCACAAGGACCCTTTACAACTCTCCTTTGGAGCCCTTCTCCATTTGGTGTTAAGGCCTTGGGGTCTCACCCGTAGACTTCGGCAGGTGTGATAGTGGTTTTTTGACTTACTTGTTTGACAAGGGTAGAGCCCTTTCCACTATTCGTGGTTACCGTTCGCCCTTCGCTGCCACTCATGTCGGGTTTGCCAAAAATCAGTCGGCGTCCTCCGGACCGGTGGAGGTTTTCCTCAGTCCCCTTTCGGAATTCTCGTGGGTTGCGGAGGACAAGGTCTGGTGCCCCTTCATGGCACTCAAGTGGTACTTAGATAGAACTAAGGTTCACTGAAAGGATGACCAGTTGTTCCTCATTTTGTGGGAGCTCTTTTCTCCTGCGTCCCGAGAATCCATCTTCAAATGGACAGTGGACGCTATTCAGGCAGCGGGTCCTGAGGCTGGGTCCGAAGGCGATGTATGGGGTGTGGGGCATGCGCGAACGTGACATTATTAAAAAGTTCTCGATGGTGGCGTGCAAATAATAGGTAGATACATAGATTCATATAGTAAATAATAAGATCAGTTCTGATTTTTCTGCTTTCTCTTACCCCACCCTCATCCATCATCTTCTTACTCATCCATCTCCATCGTCCACTTACCCATTCCACTACCTCATCCTCTTACCTTTTCCTCTTCCTCGTCCTCTTACCTATTCCTCTTCCTCGTCCTCTTACCTATCCTTCTTCCTCAGTCCTTTTAATATCCATCCCTCTTCGTCATCCTCTTACCCATTGCTCATTCTCATCATATTACACATCCCTCATCCTCATATCCATTCCTCATCCCCATCCCCATCCTCTTATCCATTCCTCATTTTCATCATATTACCCATCCATCTTCCACATCCATCTTCCACATCCATCTTCCACAGCCCCTTTAATATCCATCCTCTTCCTTATCCTCTTACCGATCCCTAATCTTCATTCTCTTACCCACCCTCTTCCTCATCCTCTTACCCACTCCACCCCCATCCTCATCCTCTTACCCATCTGTCATCCTCATCCTCCTTCTAATACATCATCATTCTCTTTCACCATCCCTCATCCTAATCCTCTTACCCATCCCTCTTCCTCATCCTTCTCCCTCATCCTTCTCCCTCATCCTTCTCCTCATCCTTCTCCTTATCCTTCTCCTTATCCCTCATCCTAATCCTCGTACCTGTTCATCTTGCTCATCATCTTATGTATCCCTATTCCTCATCCTCCTACTCATCCTCATCCTCTTACCAATCACATTTCATATCCCCTCCCTCCCTCTCTCTCTATTTCTCTCTTTCTTTTTTGATCTCTTGCTATCTTGCTCTTTCTCTCTTTCTCTCTTTCTCTCTTTCTTTTAATATCTTATATCAGACTTGTCATGTTTACTTTTAGTAATCAACTTTTCCATTCGCTAGTAATGAATTACATTTAGGTGTGCTTCC